CTAGAACCACCACTGTTCCCAACAACCTCAATCAGTTCTTCCATTCATGCTGATTTGCACAGTTTCTACATTAGTCAGTTAAATAACCTGCTGCTGTCATTTCGCACGTCTCTGGTGTTAATGCTATTTTCACAATAATGGGAGTGGCAGCTTAGTGGTTAGGATATAGAGCTTGGAATCCTGAGGTTGTGAGTTCAAAATCCACTCCCACAGACTGCCACTCGGGGTTTCTGAGCAAGACCCTTAACCTCCACACTGCTCCCTGGGCACAACAAATAAGTTAACTGCGGAGAATGAATTTTGTTGCTCTGTACTTGTGACAGTATAATGACAAAAAAATTACGCTGGGAAAAAAACACATTACTGTAAAATTGTCCACAGCTGTGTGCAGAATTATTGGGCAAGTTGTATTTTTGAGGATTATTTTTATTATTGGGCCACAATTGCTCTCTCAATCAACGCAAAAGACTCCTTAATATCAAGGTTCCATATTTTTGGAAGTTGATGTTTTTTTAGATTTGGCCATTTAATGAGGATGTCTGTGTGTGCAGGTAAATATTACTGTGCAGAATTATTAGGCAACTTAATAAAAAACAAATATATACCCATCTCACTTGTTTATTTTCACCAGGTAAACCAATATAACAACTCAAAATTCAGAAATAAACATTTGGGACATTCAAATACACAAAAAAACAACTCAGCAACCAATATAGCCACCTTTCTTCACCATGACGCTCTAAAGCCTTCCATCCATAGATTCTGTCAGTGTCTTGATCTGTTTGCGATCCTCATTGCGTGCAGCAGCCTCCACAGCCTCCCAGACACTCTTTTCCCTCCCTGTAGATCTCACCTTTCATGAAGGACCACAGGTTCTCCATGGGGTTCAGATCAGGTGAACAAGGGGGCCATGTCATTATTTTTTCTCCTTTTAGACTTTTTCTGGCCGCCACGCTGTGGTGTATTTTGATGCGTGTGATGGAGCATTGTCCTGCATGAATATCAGGTTGTTCTTAAATGATGGCGACTTCTTCTTGTACCACTGTTTGAAGAAGGTGTCTTCCAGAAACTGGCAGTAGGTCTGGGAGTTGATCTTGACTCCATCATCAACCTGAAAAGGTCCCACAAGCTCATCTTTGATGATACCAGCCCATAGCATTACCCCACCTCCACCTTGCTGGCGTCTGAGTGGATAAGGAACTTGCTGCCTTTACTGATCCAGCCTGGTGCCCATCCATCCATCTGGCCCATCTAGACTCACTCTCATTCCATCAGACCCAAACACCTTGAAGAAATCAGTCTGCAGAGATTTCTTGGGCCAATCTTGACGTTTTGTCTTGTGCGTCTTGTTCAAAGGTGGCCTTTTTTCGGCATTCCTTACCTTAACCAGGTCCCTGAGTATCGAGCACCTTGTGCTTCTCGGCTCTCCAGACATGTTGCAGCTCTGAAATATGACCCAACTGGTGGCTAATGGCTTCCTGGCAGCTTCACGCTTCATCCTTCTCAATTCATGGAGAGTTATTTTGCGTCTTCTTTTTTCAACATGCTTCTTGCGCCCCTGTTGGCTGTTTGACATGAACCGCTTGATTGTGCGATGATCCCGCTTCAAAAGCTTGGCAATTTCCAAACTGCTGTATCCCTCTGAAAGACATCTGACCATTTTTGACTTTTAACAGTCTATCAAATCTCTTTTCTGACCCATTTTGCCAAAGGAAAGGAAGTTGCCTAATAATTAAGCACACCTTATATAGGGTGTTGATGTCATTAGGCCACACCCCTTCTCATTACAGAGATGTACACCACCTGATTTACTTAATTGGTAGTTGGCTTTCAAGCCTCTACAGCTTGGAGTAGGACAACATGTTTGAAAAGGATGATGTGGACGAAATACTCATTTGCCTAATAATTCTGCACACAGTGTATTGATTATTTATTCTTTGGGCGGCAGCACAGTATTCATATTGTATAGTACAGCATTTTATCTTGTTTTTTTCCCCCAACTCTGCCACTTTTTATATAAACTATTTAAGGTCTACATTGGTGTACTTTTGCTTAATCAAACTTTTGCTTACCACTTTTGCCGTAATGCTTTTGCTGCTGTAAAAACCAGAGTTTCCCCATTGTGGGACAATAAAGGGATTTTCTATTTTTGATTTTCTATGTAAATGTAGCCAGAAATAAGTAGATGTTACATTTATTTATCTAATTCATGTTTTAAACACTAAATAAACTTTAAAAAGTCCCGTTAAATGATCTATCCGTCTTCTTATCCATCAGGGTCTCAGTCAGCAGTCTCTGGGCGAAAGGCACCAGTCCATCACAGGCCAACACACACACACACATTTTTTGGACCCGATACACAATACCTGGCTGTGCAGTATTGGTCGATACCATCTGTTTGAAACTGATGTGTGTGTGTAAATGAAGAACTGCAGACTACCTGGATGTAAAATAATTGCCATCATGGCTTCATGTCAAGCTGCTGCCTACCTTTGTGAAGCAGGAAAAAGACTAAAACAAAGTGAATCCAGTAGAAATCTTTATTTCCTACCTGGAATAGGTGACAATAGTTGAAGAAACTAAGAAACTCAAAAATGGTATCGGTGCCCTATTTGTTGGTAACCACCGATACCGATTAGCCTGACGTAGTCCGACTCAATTCTAGTCAGAATGAGTCTGATGCTGCTCCATAGAGCTGTGATTATGGGGCGTGTTTTGAACGAACCAGGAAAAAAAATGCCTCTGCACTCAATTGGATAGACCTACAACCAATAAGAGCAACGGAGTGCGTGACGTATG